AAAGTTCGCGCAAAGCATCATCACCACATATGGATAACATATAATCTGCTGGATCAACCTTGAATAACATCCTCAGGGTCCTGGAAAAATATCATGACAGGTAACTAAGAACTCGTTTGTGTTCATTTGCGCAAAATTATGATTTTAATTTAAAAAGGCAGAGAATCTAATGCAAATTCATATACTTGCCAAGAAGTACTTTAAGCTACTTCAGAGCACAACCAAACATGATTATATCAGCAATTCAGGCTCTTCTACATAGATTTTGCTATATGTACATAATGTATTGTATAATATGATGTGGAGGGAAAATATTGGATGAAAAAGTTGATTGTGTTTTAAATTGGCAAATAGTAGTGTCATATGACATTATGTAATCATTTATGTAAATCTTGTTGTACATGTGGTAAGATAGTCATTATGACAAGACCTTACCTGAATACTTTTGGACAATAATCTTTCCATCTAAATTCACAGGATTGGTGAGGTGGAGTAATTTTGGATCCCTCAGTTGGGAATTTTGTCCAATACTTTTCCTTCGGGTCGAAAGCTGATGGTTTCAGATCAAGCGATGGAGGTGGACCGGGTCTTCCAACAGAATGCCTGTGAAGTTAGCAACATTATTTATAATGGAAAATGTAAAGTATTGATTCAGAGTAGAAATAATATATGTAAGTAGATCAGGAGGATGACGTGCATATTTCTCATTTGTGTTGGATTTTTTGTAATCGAATTATACAGTACAATTGTTTGCTGATCGACTAATATTCCTACTATATAAAGGATTTTAGGGGGTAGATTTTGTTTTTGAGAGAGATGCGAGAAAAAAACTCGCACTCTCCTAATATCCAGAAAGGCATTTCGGGAATCAGTGTTCGTCCGTCCCTTAAGTTTGAAGAAAATGTTGGGATAATGTTATATCAGCTATAATAAAAAAGAACAAATATGCCAAAGGTATTAGAAAGATCAGACAGAATTCTGAGGTTAAAAAACCTGCTGATTATATTGAAGCAGAAAAATAAATCATACCTAATTCCCAGCTGCAAATTGAGCATTAGCTCATAATTCCTATGCCCTTTGCATATTGTCTCTCCTTGTTTTTTCACTACTTTAGGTATTCTGAGAGGACTGCCTCTTGCATTTACACAATCAAGCTGTAAACCATCGTCAGAATCATTTTCGGCCATTCCATTCCTAACATAACCGGGAGGTGAAGGCGCAGCATCAGACATCCGCATTCGACCAAAATCCCTCTCTACGCCAGCGTCTATTCTACTATCGACCGACATTCTTCGCGGCTTAACGCTTGTATCTGAGCCCTTTGTAGATCTCCAAACTGCAAGCTTTTTCTGGGATGGCCATATAGGGACCTTTTCACCAGGACAAACCTTACAATCCTTCAAATCAGTGTTAAAAACCTCTTGAGGATCCCATTCAAGATTTCCTTCCAATAGTGATCCAGATGGATAATAAGTCCCACTTTGTTCCTTTAGATCTTTACTCCAAATCCCTACATAAAAACTCCCATCTGCCCATTTAAATGTTCCATTTCCTTTAGGCAATCCATCTTCCCAATTCCCTTCATACACATTCCCATTAGTCCAACACATTTTCCCTTTCCCACAAATGGTTCCATTCTTCCATTCCCCTACATAACGATTCCCATTCTTCCATTGATATTTCCCCATTCCTTCGTGTACTCCTCGACTCCATTCGCCATCATAACTATCTCCATTTCCATATTCCTTAACACCATGACCATGCTTCAAATTCATGATCCAAGAGCCCCTATAAGTATCCCCATTCGGCCCCGTATACATACCTTCTCCATCCATGAAACCACTCTTGAAGCTACCCTCATACATCGCCCCGGATGGCCAACTAAACGTACCTCTTCCCATCGTCTTTCCTCTAAACCAATCGCCTACATACAAACAACCGTCTGTCCACAAGTATTTTCCGTATCCATGAGGGAAACTCTCGGACCAATACCCCGTGTAATAATCGCCATTGGGGAGAAATCTCTCTGCATGATACACTTCTCCACTTGTATGTTCTTCTTCTTCTTGCTCTTCATTTTCTTCCTCAACATTTCCTACTGTATACGAGGTCCCAAATATCGTGTTGGCGCGCTTCTTGGCTGCAGCCTGCGTTTTACGTACTGTTGCCTCCCAAACCTTCATGCCTATGGCAGATTTATTTAACAAAACTATACAAATATTCTTCTTTTATCAATGCAGATCGTTATCTTCACTTAAATCTACATTTTCATCTGAGCGTCTAGGTGAGGAAAGATGAGTCGGATGGACAATGCTCAGCCATGCAAAAAACAGGCAAAATTTCTTGCTCGAGAAAATGGGAAGGAGAAGGCAGACAACCTAAGAAAAATACAAAAATCTAAACCAATCAAATTTCACATTTTTTGGTCTTTTTCTCGTCTACATTTTCATTTTTCTTTTGCTGGTATTAAGCTAATGTGATGAGAAATCCATAAAACACGACCTACGATCATGGAATTTGGACAATACAGAACCAAGAAAATCTAACTTGACTATGTTTAGAAAATGGTTGATGTCGAGTGTGTGTGCCATGCATTTCTTTGTCCAAAAAATGAATATGTTATCTCTCAGTGATCGAAGATATGACTTGTTCAACTGCTGAATAGTAAATATTAGAGGCTCTTTGACATTTGGCAAGATGAGAGATTTAGGCTTTATCCATGTTACATTCTCATTTTTTCATTGGGCAACTTGATGTTTCATTTCTTGTTGTCTAACTACTGATTTAAGTAAATATATGTTTGATCTCATTCATATATATTAATATGTTAAAATTCTAAAAGTTTAATCCATTAAAGAAATAAATAATTAATAAAATTTTATTTTCAACGCACTTTTTATGTATACTCTATTCCTTTTTCTATCGAAGTCTAACAATATACACGATAGTAAAATTTGAACATGCAATGCAACTCCTTATTATCGTCTAGTTTAAAATACCATAAAGATAGCGACTTTTTTTATTTATTCATATTTTATTTGGCACAATATTATTGATGATAACCCCTTAATAATGTCGCTAAGAAACGTATTGAGCAAGAGGAAGAAATTGACCTTAAATTCTCTCTCTTTTTGTGATTTTTATGCACGGAAATAAATGGAAAATGAAACGTGACAGGTACGACAAATAATAATAAAAATAGATATATTTTATTTTATATAAAGCACATGACATGATCAAGTGTAATTCTAAATCATACTTCAATATTATGGTTAAAATTGAAGTTTCTTAAAAGTCTATGACAGTTTCCTTAAAGTTTCTAAATCTTAACAAAAAAGAAAGAGTAATGTTATTCATTCTCAGTGTGGATGAAAACACAGTCTATGTGGCATTAAATGATATGTTAAATGAAATATGAAATTAAATAACTTATTTAATTTCACCTATCATTTAATGTCACATTAAGGTCACGTAGACTGTGTTTTCATCCCCAATAGGGATGAATAGCATTACTCAAAAAGAAAATAAAGGAGAAAGTTTTGTTGAGTTTCGAAAGAGCTTGGTTTTCAAAACGCAATAATTGCATCTTATGAATTACTTTTATATGAAAAATATACATATTTGATATGTGCACGTAAAGATAATATACAAATAAGTGGACCCAACTTTCTTTGTCGAGCAGTGGGTGCTTTTTTGTAAAGAATATATAGCAATAGCAATGCTTTTGGTACCTCAAATTGTGGGGATATCAGATTGGCAAATATAGATTGACAAAATTGAACTCCTTCAAAGATAAGAATTTTTTTTTTTAAAACTATATCGGTCGATTATTTTCATTATTGTATATCAAACATGATTGAAACTTGAAAGATACACTTGCACTATAGCCAAAATTGCCCTCTATTATGCTCCCGTTTGTCTTTCATTTTTTCGAAACTCATTTTCAACTACACATTCACACAATAAAATATTATTAACGTAAATTCAAAACTTTTCCTACTTTTTAACTACACATTCTCTAAAAAAATTACTATTTAAAACTATATTTTTCCAAAAAAAGACCACCCAACAAGGGCTACATTTCACTTCAAGTGTCGAATGGATTGAGCTGCTCAAACCCAGGATGCATCCATCTGTTAAAAATTTGGATCGAAATTAAATTGTTTAGTTTAGACCGGTTCATGATTTGGTTCATAATAGGTCGATCGTACTCGGCTAGGTTATCAACCTGGTAACCCATCAATGTTACTTTAGTTAGCTGGGTAACAATATAAAGGTAAATTTGAACTAAAAGTGCCGTTTGGTTCTTTTTCAAGTCGGGTTTGTGAGTCGGTCCAACACATGTATTTAGCCTGGACTTGTATTTTGTAGATTTGTCGATTCAAGTTGTAACGGTGGGAGTCAAGCCATCCACTTTGACAACCTGACTTTCACCAATAAGGGCAATACGGTAATTGCATAATGCAAAACGAGAACTTCATAACGTGATATTGGGGGTGGAGAACTAACGAATTTTTTCATATCCGAATTTCCAATGAAAGTTTAAGTTAGCGTGGATTGTACTAAAATAATAAATTCATTTATAAACAATTTTATCTGAGCTCACGTTATTATAATTAGATCCTTTAATATTCAAAAATTCGTAGTTTTAAAATGTTTATTCAAGACGTAAATATCGTGAATGGTAAGTCGAGAAAATAATGTATCCAAAGGTTAGAAACTCCTTGCGAAAATTACCAAATGTTTAAATTGAGTGTAGACCCCCCTTTCCCGAATATGCTCCGCATTTTGTTCTGCACTTCCCATTTAGAATTTTAACGAGAATTTACTTTTTTTTTTTTTTTTAAACAAGTTTCATAGATCATCATAATAGCAAAAGGTGCAAGGAGGAAAGACCTCCAACGAGAATTTACTTGGAGAATTAGTACCCGCAAAAGGGAAAATGATTTTTTTATATAACTCAAATTTGTAGAGTTTATTTGTTTATAATTTGCAAATAAATGTCTGATTTGGTGGCTCGGACTGGTCGGCTTCAGCAGCGTTATGAAGATGGTTATCGCCTCATTGCTGGGTACGTTTTTCACCAGCTCTCTCGATATATACATGCAGAATGCCTTCGTAGACAGATTTGTATATGTAGCTGTGGGCGGATTAGCCCTTCGATAATATGCGGCGATTGGGTTCAGTTTTGTTGGGTTCTCTCTCTCACAATTTTTATATGATTAGAATTTTGTAGGTTGTTGCAATTAAGTTTTGTTTGATTTAGGAAAATTGTGAATTGGGCATGAAATTTCTCAACAGGATTTTGTTTATTTATCCACATTCTCAACTAGGCTTTGTTTAATTCCTGGAGAAATGAGTGAAAACCAGGTAAGAATTTTATCTTATAGGAGTTATATCAATTGGGCTTGCTTGAATTGGGAGTAATTGATAGAAAAATGGTGTAATATCAGATCTTGAGTTATTTTTCCTATATCTTGTTTATTTCTGCTTTTAGTTTTTCTTTCTGGCGTTTTTTTTTAAAACGATTTATGAACTTTTGGCTTTTCTTATTGATTAGGGATCGTATATTTGCTAGGGTCCTAGTAAGATTTATAGAAATGAATTGGAATGGGACAGTCTTCTCTTTAATTTAAATTTTCTCCAGTTTCTTAAGGTTCTGTTCTATTCTTATGGAAAAAGTGTGTAAGGTTAAAACAAGAAGCTTAAAAGAATGGAGAAAAGGGCGGAGAGGGTGGATACCATTCTGTCAAAAGTTGTCTGAGCAAGTGTTTAGGCCAGACCCACGGGGCAATGATTTTCACTAGGGTTTATTAGAGTTCAGTCATGCTTGTGGATGAAAAAAATGCAGAGAGCTACGAGGAAGCTTAAAATTTTTAACTTTTAAATGTATGCTCCCCCTTTCTTCCCTCTCTTAACTCTTAATCATTCTATTACTTTATGTTTTGACGTATGTTTGTTCTCTCTTCAAGTAAATTAATTAAAAATCAGACTTGGAAGACATGCGTGCAAAATATGAACCTATAATAGAACAAAGCTTGAACAATAAGCAGAATAATGTTTCTGCTGCCTGGTATGGTGATCTTACATCAACGTGTGCGAGTTTTGACCTTGTGGGAGAGAAGAATGTTCAGCCGATTCACGTTAGCTAGATTGACCCTTTTCATCTACTGAAGTATTGGTTGTGCCAAGTAGCCCACATTTATTTTGATTCCTCTTCAGTTTCTTCTGTTAGGATTGACAATATTTTCATCTCTATGAGTTGGTTGCCATGTTCTATATGGGTGAATGATCATGCACATGGGTAAATAAGAAAGGATTACTTCTTTCCAATTGTTTCTCATGTCAGTTTTTCTTTGTTCTAATTATCTATATGACTTTGACAAGGAGGAACCTTTGTTTCAATTCAATTTCAGGAAATATTAAACGTTTCTAGTCTTTTAAATGATGTGATCCTAATATCATGAGAAGCACTTTTTTTTTTCACCGACACAGAGAACTGAAAATTACTTGCCTATGCTGTGAGCTCTGACCAGTAGATTCATTGCTCAGGTGTATTCCTTTCAAGTACATAAATACGAAAGAAAATGATGGCGACACATCAGAGAAGACTGTTGAAGTGCTAATGATCAACTCAACTAGCGGACCAGGTCTTCTATTTCCAAAGGTGAGAGTTGTCGGTATATGTGTTTATGCTCATTAAATTAGTGATGCATAAACCATATTTTACTGAATCATTATTTCTCTAGACAGTGTTTCATTCTCTTATCTGTTTATGGATGAGCATTCTGTGGTTATTTTTCTGAGAAGACTCCACGAATATGTATTTGAGAAGATTTTTGGTAAATATATATACTTTTGACATTTGAGCTCATATGTTGGAGGACCCAAAACGCATGTAGAGTCCTCGGATGTCTCCCATTTATTGACTTTTTTGAGTTCCATATTCAATAAATTTGTGTAGTATACTTGTAGATAACCACTTCATTTCTTAAAATCAATGCTCTGCCATGACACTTTGTCCTCGTGATATCGTGAAATGATTTGTTAGCGACCCAAATGGCACAAAGAATGATTTGTTTATGATTATCTCTATGCACTTCTATCAAGTACCCAGATTTTATGTGGATTAGGTTTTGTGTTTAAGAAGAAAATGCTGGGAAACCTAATATATGATGTGTGATTTGGATGGAGAATAATGCAAGAACTTTTCTATTGGTTCTATGCCATTGGGATCGTTTGGAGATAAAGAGTTTCTTATTTTTTGTTTGCTTTAGGCTATTTGAGCAGTGATTTTCTTGCAATATATAAATTGAAGGCCTTCGGTGGTGGCACTTGATTTACATTGATTTCGTGCTTAGGAATTAGAAGAATGACAAGTTTTTTAGATGGATCCTGTTTTTACATGGCTAATTTATATTAGGCAAGATGGCATCGCTGTCCAGTTATACGAGTTATTTCTCTTCGAAATTGGAAACGCTTATGGATTAAAATAACAAGGTGAAAGTGGATAAAGATTTCCCTTCTCCAGGGGATGAAATTTCAAATAATTTGGCAAGTCAATGAATCTGAAATTTCTAGAAATTTTTGCTTCCAGCGATAAGTTTGAATGCCTATGACGAGAGTATGATAAAGCAGTACCATGTCATTCTAACGTGCAGATTCATAGATTTATTTCTTCCTTTCTGAGGCAAAGAAGTTCATAACAAAATATCAAGAGTATTCCAGTAGTCATGCCTTTTTGTTATTTTTAAACACAGGGTGGGTGGGAAACTGATGAAACGGCTGAGCAGGCAGCAACACGGGAAGCAATAGAAGAGGCTGGAGTACGAGGGGATCTGGTGGTAAGATTTAATGATTTATATTATTAACCTCGTTGTATAGTTTTACTATGTCTGTAATCATATCAAGAATAATTTATACTATGTAACCAATGCAAACTTTGGTGATCAACACAGTTCATGTACAAAGATCACTGAAGGAAGGGAAATCAATCTCATTGCTTCAGTGGGGTTTCTGACTTTGATTTTTCTGGCTGTATTGTTTCAGCATTTCTTGGGATATTATGCTTTCAAGAGCAAAACACTACAGGACGAGTTCAGTCCAGAAGGTTTGTGTAAAGCTGCCATGTTCGCTTTGCTCGTGAAAGAGGAACTCGAGTCCTGGCCTGAAAAGAGCCATCGACAAAGAAGTTGGCTAAAAATTCCTGAAGCTATTCAACAATGCAGGCACCCATGGATGCGAGAGGCTCTTGAATTAGGCTTTAAAAACTGGTATCCTATAAATCATGACCGTAATTCCACCATCGATTAGTTCTGAGGTAGAACTTGGGTCCAGCACAACTCAAGCTGGTCTTGATGCCTTCTCGTTCTAATTTTTGTATTTCCAGGCGGGGAACTTGGAAAAGATGATGCAAATAATTCAGTTGCTTTAGGTTTTGAACATTTTCTGGTGAAGATGGTTTCTTGCATATCATTTCAACCATTCCCTTGATTTTTAATACCATGGCCATTCTATTAATTAGAACTCTTTTAGATTGAATTTTGTCTTGTATGCCATTCTGTTTGGTTTAAAATTAGCACGTCTCAAATGCAATACTGAATTAAGGGTTGTTAAGCAATGCTTTTGATAAAAGTTTTAGCAAATTTTGATATAAGTTAATAAAATGTCTGTTAAAAAGCAGGTCCTATGAAATGTGTGATTATAATTAAAGTATGATTAGTTCAAAAGTTGATAAAATTTAAGAAAAAACAAACACTTGTGTTTGATTGGTTTTATTTTCCATGAAAAATGTTATTTTTTCACCCATAATCCTACTTTTAAGGTGTTTGATTGAGAATTTACTTTTAGGGTGCAATTGATTGTAATGGTGGAAAATTGGTGGAAAGAAAATGTTTTACGGGGAAAAGATTTACCTAAAAAATATTTTGCAGGTTTTGCAGGGAAAATGATTTCAAGTATGTTTGATTGGTATAATTTTTCACCCGAAAAATTTTTAAATTTTCTATTTGTTTGGCTTTATCTTACATGGAAAGTGTCTATTAAAGTGATAATTTTTTTTCACAATTGGTTATAAAATTTGTTTTCATTGCCAAAAAGTTTTTAAAAAAAAAGGAAAAAAAAATTGTTTCATAAAAAATTATTTTTTCATCAAAGTTTAGTATTCGTTTGACTTTGTTTTACATTGAAATTGTTCATTAAAGTGAATTTTTTTTTACCATTGAGTATGACATTTATTTCCATTGCAAAAAAAAAACAAAAAAAAATTTGCAGCCAATCTGAAAATTTTTTTCCCACCAAAAAGTTGGGAAAAAATTTTCCTCCATTACTCGGAAAATGCACACGTGTGGGGGTAAGTTGGAAAATATTTTCCGTTGAAAATTTTGCCTATCAAACGGTCAAAAAAGTGGAAAGTGAAAAATATTTTTATAATTCCTTGGAAAATTCATCCTATCAAACACAGCCTTAAGGTGTTTGATTGACAATTTTTTATATGGATAATATTTTTCAACTTTTGATCATGTAACCATATTTTCTTTTAAAATAAGGAAAACTTTTTCTTTAAAGAGATGTTTTTATTTTTCAAGTAATTATTCTCTCTCTTTCTCTTATTTACTCATCAATAAAAAATAGATAAATATGATATTTTCTAGATTGAAAACTAAATTAATCAAACACATTTAATTAATAATTTCTATACAAATAAGTTTTATACAATTGAATTGTCTGAAATTTATTTTATTTTCGTACAAATTTCATATTCGCAATCAAACGCAACCTTAAATTATTTTATTTAAGGCTTGATATCCATATACATGCACAGAAAGATTACTCGCAAAATTTCTCTATTAGTGAAAAATGAAAACATAGGACGGAAAAGGCCAACATTGGTAACTTCTTAAATTAAAAGTGAAAAATAAGCCAAAGAATCGACAAAATAATTATAAATTGTAAACAGCGGATATGTCAAACCAGGTATTTACAATCTGAAAAAAAATGCTTCATAATATTGAAGCAATAAGCAAATATGCTATTTTAATTCCTTTTTACCACACAAAATTCTTGTACGATGAATTCCTACAAGCAGTTCATCTGCTTTCCCCATCATATTTGTACTTGATATACAGATGTGATAACAAAACATTACTAAAACTGGCAAACTAATGCTCATGCTTAACGCGGGCCTTTAATATTCCAGGAACAGGAGGCGAGGTTGGAGGCCTACCTGATACGTTCGACCTTGAAGGCAGGTAAACGCTGGGCATGCAGGAGCTTTCACCACTGTCTAGAGGGATATTTTGCGTCACGCTATCACCTCGAGGATTTTCACACAATTTCATTGCCTTGAGAACATAATTGTCATCATGTAGCTCAAATGGGGTGCTGCAATGATCAAAGCAAATATATGTTATATTAGAGGTGGAATATAAAGCATGAAAGTATCTTTTTTACTCTGTTGGCTACCATAAGCAAGTCTTGCTTCCTCATCTTCCTTTCAGTGTAATACATGACGTGTTCGTGTTAGTAATCTAAGAATGTAGCGGATATAAAACCATCATTTATGGAGTACACAAAATGTTTGGCTAAGCTTAAAAAGTTTATGCTTATAATAAGTTATAAGATAATGAATTTTTTTTTATATTGAGAAAAATTAACAGCAACTCATCAAAGGTAAGAGTAACTTGTCCAAAAATGTTTTGAAACACTATTAACTGTTGCTTAATTTTTTAAGCTCTGCCAACCATTCTTATATTGAACAATTAAAGTGGTGTTTGCTTGAATGATTCCCTTACCTATTGAAATCAAAATGCACCAGCTGCATATCTTCTGATATTTCCACCTCGACAGTTGCATGAGGACGAGTCTACAGTTTCCAGAAGAGAAAATCAATCAGAAACATGACAATGAATTCAACGGGATTCTAGCCAAAGTTCAAACACTGAAGCAACATCCAGAACTTTCAAACCACCACCGTCTCCAACATTAAACCAGCAGATCTGATCCTAAAATTCTTCTTAGAATATGAAAATATAAGATGGAAAACAGTGATCAACTCAACAAATGAAGGATAAAACTTCTCATTATCAATTTGTTTAGCTTTAGATTGGGCATTATCTGTCAAGAGAGATCATAACTTTGAGTTTGGACTCGAGTATGTGGATATTTCTTGATTTTTTAAACTGGTAATGTTTTTAGGGGTGATAGTGGTTCTCATGGTGTGGTGATTGTGGATTAACTGAAGTTGAATTTGAGTTTTTATTTATTTTTTTCTAAATTTTCTTTTCTATTACCTGGAGATTATTGGTGGTTTTTGGGCTTGGGTTAGATTCGAGTATTTTCTTCATTGTGGTTTACACCTTTCCATTGAATGGCAAAATTGGAATTAATACAGATCAAAGAATAGAATTATTCTAAATGAACACTGTAAGCTAGGCTGCCAAGCAATGTAAGAGTGCAAGAGTCTCATTTGTGACAGAGAGCGAGAGATATATTAAGGGGGTGTTTGATGCACATTATTGAGAAGAAAATGCATTTTATGATGTGATGTAATGGAAAATATGTGGTTAAAAAATAAGGAAAAGTTTTGGACTTGCGTGTAATATTATTTTATTAAAGAATGTGTGGTTAAAAATAAGTATTGAAAGAATGAATTTTGGGAAGAACGTGGATCAAACAGGGGCTAAACATGGTCATAAAAACAAGGATTACCTAGTTGGGAGTCCTTTGAAAGATGAACATAACAATAGTCAGAATGAAATTATTAACAAACGAACCTGCACCAATATAAAAGGTAAAGCCACACCACCACTAGGAGCATTTCCTGAGCCATATAGTTGCTCATTACGTTGGACAAGTTTTTGAAGACCTACGTACTTCAGCCAGTATAGGAAGAAAAGACAAATTGTTAGACATGTTACTCGTTGTTAATATCCTCATTCATGATGCATATCAAGAAATTAACTTTCATCTAATTCAGTAAAAAAGCTGACAGCATACTGCTCAAAGATTCTCACTTGTTCCTCCAGTTCTTGCAAATATGCTGCTTTCTTCTCAATGCGATTTCTAATTCCGAGACTCTCATTCTGCAGTCATTTACATTCGACTTAAATTACATTTCTTGATATAGTCATATAACAATAGACAAAAGGAAAAAGAGAGGTGGAAGTAAAAGTAATAAACATGTATATGAACCTTTAGTTCTTCAATGTCATTCAAGCTAGTCCGTGGTAAACCTTTCCATTGTATTTCCTTCTTATCTTTAGATATTATATCCATCGCCATCAGAACATTTAGAGCATCATAAACCCTTCTTCGTATGTTTTTCTCATCATATTGTTGCTGCCAAATATATTAACAATCAAAATTATTCTATCAAAAAACAATCAAAATTACAAGTTCAAAAAAGTTTCAAAATTACCCCCTACATAGCATATGGAAATGACAAATGCGAAGAACCTGGTCTGGAGAGGCAATATTATTGTTAGGATCTGCAAATTCAGCGACAAGTTCATCTGCGACCTGGAGAGACACTGATTTGTTAGATTTAGACACTACATTACAATCAAATAGACCACAATGACGTGTTACTACATAGTTGAATAGCCCGATTTGGTTTTTACGCAAGGAACATAGGTCAAATATTATTAACAGTTTCCACTTTCCAGAAGAACTAGTCACTATTGCAAACCAGTGAATCATTATCATCACTGCGATTATTGTTTTAAAGTTGTATCAATTGAAATACAAACAAGCAATGATAATATCGGTGAACTATGCATATGTCATCCTCCAATCAAAACATTCATACTTCTTCTCAATAAGAAACTATCATGTCCATTTAGGTATTAATCACATACTTTTTTTTTTATAAGTAATCACGTAAATTTTATTTAATCACATACTTGAAAAGGCATTTTTAGCAAGCACTCTACCAGCATTGGAATAGGAATAATCTTATTAAACAAAAAGAATCCAGTATTTTTCAAACAAAGTTGAATATACCACATTTTAGATTTTGCACAACAAGAGAAAGGTCATAAAAAAGCACAAATTAATCAGGACAGGTGAACAGAACGGAAGGACCAACTCATCATTCCAAAAACACAAGCTCCCAAACATATTGCAGGCTAACAGAGAGCACAAATTATAATTCAAAAAAAGCATGATGTGAAATGAATTACACATTTAATAAGCATCTGACCTCATTGTATGTAGTTCTTCCTTTGCTTTCCACTTTCTCGCACACTAGAAAGCACCAAAGTTAATCATGTATCATGTAACTCCTATCAAGAACTCATTCAAGTACTAAAAAGAAATTAAAAAGTACATATCCTCTTAGTAAGAGAAACAAGGACAGATGAGAAACAAAAACCTTTCATGCTAAATTGACGAAGCCCTCTACCAGACTTATCCCCTCCAGCAGCACGCTGACCCCTTTTCTTCTTCTTGTTACTGTTGGACCTTAATATTAGTCAACTAGAAGCATGAGGAAA